ATCAACTGCCGTCTCAACTCATGTATCATACAGTTAAATGAAATGGAGAGCGGAAATTTAGGACAGTTTAACTACAAATTCGGTTAAAAGGGATCTGGAGTTGTTAACTTTCGAAATAGCACAGTTTTCGGGAAACAGGAACGACAGTTACTCTGTTTTTCAAGAGGTTCACAATCCACTGAACTAACTCTTTGTAAGGAATGAAAACAGAAGTGGCTCGAGAGGACGCATTGTGCCAATAGTGACCACTCATCGACAAAAGAGTCAAAAGTTCCTCTTTAAACGGTTGTTTGAAAAACCCAAGAGCAGTTTGACTCTTTCAAAATTATCGAATTGAAAGAACTTGACCGAAAAGTGAATGTTAGAATTTCTGTTTACTTTTTTCCAAACACTTATTTTGCTCAGCTGCTTACTTGTAATCTGATTCATGAGCTACGCAGATGTCAACTTTTCCAGTTACTTTGGCCAAAGCTGAATTGCTTGGTGGTCATTTAGATGACCATATATTAAAATTGTAATAATACAGAGGAAATTCGCATAGCTCCAGTGAGAGCATTACGCCTAAATTCAAAAGCATCCAAAATTTCGACATATTATAATTTTAAAAATTCACTTTATTCTTATAAATATGCAGTGCTTATTTAATCTCTCCCACTTATATTTTTCTCCAACAAAACCACTAACATGGGACACTTCTACAGTGGTGGCGGTACATTTTATTCACGCCCCCTGTCCACATATTATAATGTTCACATATCACAGTATTTAATATTTCTATTTAATTGTTCTTCGATTTAAGCGAAATTATAAATCACTTAAAAGCAAACTAGGGATACCCAAACAGAGAAAACTGCCTTCTCCCTCCTTTCCTCCCCCCCCCCTTCCCTCCCCAGCTCCTCCCTCAGCTTTTGAAATTTTCCGGAAATGTTTGTTCGGTAAAAATTTTGGCAGCAGTTCTGAATTTCACGTTCAAGCAACAAATAGAATTTTAATTTGGTGTTCCATTTGGCAAGTTCCATTACGAAATACTTGTCATAATTGGGCACAGAGTAATTACCGGAGGTGGCAGTGCGGCAGAATATGTCAAGTAGCTGGGAACAGCAATCACTTAGAGCCGAACGGCAAGCACGTTTGCCTCATTCTTCGAGTGGCGCCCTAAATCCGGGTCAAGTGTAGTCAGTGGACACTCCTCACAGCCAATGCTTGAACAATTTTCTAAATTTGTCGGCATATCCGGTTCATCCAACTGCTCTATTCCGGGCGGCGCTCCTAGAAATCCCGAAAAACGCTCATTTCAATGTTTACAAATGGGTATTTCGGAGTGAATTTTTCCGCAAATTTCAACATTTCCTCACGAAAATCATCTTCTAAATTTTATCTTCATTGTTTTTAAAAAGACCATCAACACTTTGTAAGCGCTCTTCAGCACCCAGGCCTAAATTACTTGCTAGGCGGCTATATCAGGAATACCAGAGACCGCCCAGACTATCAGTTTGGTTATTCCATGTTAGTGATGTTATTCGGATGTTTTCGCATGGCGGGCGTACCTATGTATCATGCTTTACTGTTTTCGGCTGCACACTTTCAGTTAGTACCATCACTTGTTTTAAGAATGTGTATTACCCCTTCACCGACTGGCCGAATGATCGTTTACATTTTTATTAGTAAACAATCGTATTTCTACTTTTTCTTCAAATTTGTAATTACTCATTGTTGATTTTCGATCAGAGCCTGATTAATTATAAAAGATGTTTTCACAGAAATACATATTGATTGGCTGGGAAAACATGGCATTTTCAGCAGCCAAAAATGTTGCCATTTCTAGTGACTAAAGGGAAAGACAGCCACTGGCTTTGCTCTCAAAAGACACCAAAATCTTTGGAGTAGGATGAGTAAAACCAATTGCTTGATGTAATCGGAGTAGAAGATATCCGACTGGATTCAGTTCTTAAAAAAATCTTGTAAAACCAGCTCAATACTAGCGAAAATCGTTAAAAATTTGAGAAAAAAGTTGCAAAACCGGCTAGAAAGTGCCAAGTCTTGTTGCAGAACAAGGATCTGGAAACATCGATAGACAGCTGCTAATGCTCTTCATTTCCTTTAGTTGATTTGTTCCTGTAGCCTTGCAATTTAGAAACAAAGTGTCCAAATCTCAGAACAGTGGCGGAAGGGCCTGAATTGCAAGAAAGTTTAAGTATTGGAGATCGAAATTTAGTCGGAATTAAGGTATCCACCACTGAAAAGTTTTCCGGAAATTTTTGCTCTGCAAAATTTACTGGGAATAAAGGTGCAGCGAGATTCTAAAATAAGCGATCATGTTCCTAATCTCTTTCAAAACTGCAACAAACTGTTTTTCCCGGAAAATAAGCAACTGTCAGTTTTAACACTTTGACACGGCGGGACTAGCCGCTTTCCAGTGCAAGGCACTGCCGTAACATTTGTACAGACTGATTTCTGTGGCCGAAGCCGCTCCGCTTGGTGATCAGCTTATCGGCACTACTGACCGTTGGCCACTTATTATTAATAATAATTTAAGGCAGAAGGCAACTGAACATATTTTGAAAAATTAATTAAAAAATGTGTTTATAGAAATATCTCTTCCGTGAAAAAAATGCAAATTTGCTAAACAGCATTGATAAGCAATTCAGTAGTATTTGGTTTCAGTTCAGTTCCACATTGCTGCACATATTTGTATCTGGCTGTTGAACAAATGATGCATTTTGGAAATCAATGTTCCAGCGGTACCATGACACGACGATATTCGGTTAGTACATACCTATTTCCAAATTTAAATTTTCATGAATATCACAAGTGCTCGGATGATTATTTTAGAGGAACATACACATACTACAATTACGTAGAAGTACAGGTATATATACATACATGAACGCACGTGCATAAAAGCATACACAAAAAACATATGCATAAAGACATACACACAAACAAATAGGTAAAGAAAAACAGACAAACGTGCAGTTATAAACAAACACGAGCAAACAACTACACAGGCAAATAAAGACAAAAAACCTATCCACACTTACAATCTCACAAGCAAACATATATTCGTAGAAAAATAAACAAACAAACATAAACATTTTTTATGCTCTGAGGCAGAGAATTACTAATTGACTGTTCACTTATATTTTTCTTCATAAACTGTAAATTTGTAAGGAG